GCAAGCATTTTTATAGCAGGGGGGTGCACTTGCACCCCCCTGCTATAAAAAAAATACCAGAAAATTATATATATATTTTTTTTATTGAATTATTGTTTGAATAAAAACTGAAGTCGTCGAGGTTGCTGTTCAAATGTATTTATCACCTTCTCAATAAATTCGGTGTCTTCTTCTACTCTTTTCCTGTGAACACTGAGCATGCACAAGCTACTTAGCCTCGCGTCTCCCATCGTTGAGCGATTCTACGTCTTGACACGTCGTAACGTGCTAAATGTACGTTCAATACTACACGTTTTAAAAATTTGGTAGAAACAACATCACTACATACCTGGGCTGTCTGGTCTGTCTGTATTCAATTTGGATGTCTTAATATGAGATAAATTATCTTCATCGGAATGATGATTACGTTTTTTACACAAAAAATGTCTTATGTCACTCATAACTTGAATAAAAAGTAATAAGTTATCCAATAAATTGCCTAAAAACGACGATGAGTCACTGCTTATACAGATTTATTACAGAAAATTAATTTGCTCCTTATCGACAAAAAACCGCAATTATTAATAGATACAACTAAAATATTATGATTATGAAACATGAACTGACGCAATCGCAAGTAGGGAAACCCTCACATCCATTGCGTGGCAGCGGGGATTCCCCGAGTCATAATGCCAACCATCGACTACAGATAGCGTTTAAGCAGATGAGAGGGAGACCAATTTACCCAAAACTATTTTACTAATTTTGTTTTACTCTAGCATTAGTTCAAAGTTGTAACATTATTAGGACATGTTGGTTTATTACATATACACTGGACCGCAAAGAACACGGGTCGGTTAGAAAATCGTCAATATCTTGAAAACTACTTAACTTATTTTTATGAAATAAAAACTAAATTAATAATAATAATAATAATAATAATAAAGTATTTATTTTGCCAACACACAACACAACCCAGTATAAAACAAACAGGACAATTAACATTTAGTACATACAAGAACTTAAAGTGTAATGTTGTGTGCTGTCAAAACTGACCTCAGCTCAGCGTAAGCAATGGGTACACCCGTTGCACTGGTATTCTGCTGAAGTCAGCGGCGACAACACGGACCTACAATGTTCGACATAAAAATATTAAGTTAACAAAGACAAATAGAACGACATACCTATACAAATATATATCAACGAACACAAAGATAAATGTACGAAGTTCTAATTTCAATATAAAACACTATAAAACAAAGAATACACAATACGAGTACATTCATACGTACAGTAAAGAAAAATCGCACCCTACGCGTCAAAATCCACGTATTACTGACGTGTCCATACGTGGCACGCGTGGCCTAGTAAAAACGTCAAATTGAGACTAGTTCAGAACTTGCCTTTCATTAGATTTTACATGCAGAAATACATTTACTTCAATTAAGCCAACACAATCACTTTAAAACAATTTCAACAAAAACATTACTTATTTAGTACTAAAACAACAAAATCATAATAATAACAATACAACTAGTGCAATGTTTATAAAGGTAGGGCTGGTATATGCAGTGAAAGTCATGGTTATAGGCAGACCCTCTCATACCAATAACGTGGTAAGTATATCTTTCAGTTTTTTTACTCACGAAACATCTACGCCAGCTGTGCCGACATAATATAAAATTTAACTGCTTTATTGAAAGAATTTCTTGTTTTCAGTTTTCGAATAGGAGGAGGCAAATTGTTCCAACAATGAGAAGCAGAATACTTGAAAGAACCCCGAAAAGCAGTAGTTCTATGTGTAGGGGTCTGCATCATATATAAGGAGGCCCGTGTGCAATATGAGTTGTTGTCTCTCGCCCATTTGATCTTTCTGTAGAGGTATTCAGGCACTTTTGTATTAATTATGTCAAAAAGAAGAGTAGCAAAGTGTAGTTTTCTACGATTAACCATTTTCAAAAGATTTGACTGATTTAAAAAAGGAGTAATATGGGCTCTTGCCGGCACAGCGAAACAAAAACGGGCACAAGCATTTTGTAGTCTCTGAATAAGACATTCCGTTCTTTTTCGCAGACAAGATCCATACACTACATCAGCGTAATTTAACTTTGAAAGGACTAGGGAATCACATAATCTAACCCGAATCTCTTCAGACAGGAAGTCACGGTATTTATACATTACCTTGAGTCTATAAAAACAATTACGTACAGCCTCAAGTACATGCATTTCGAAGCGGAGATCTGGCTCAAAAATCACTCCCAAGTTTCTGGCCATTGACACCATTTCTTTAGGTTGATCAGCAATGGTAAGTCTGGCATTATATTGTTTAATTTTGGAAACCTGACAATTAGAGCCTAGAAGCATATATTTAGTCTTAGCAGCATTTAGAGCTAATCCATTATTCTTAGACCAAGTAGATATGCCCTCCAAATCCCTCTCAATCCTGTCAATTGCGCTTAAAGTGTCACAAGGCTTAAAATTAAGATAAAGTTGGACATCATCAGCATAGAGATGATATCGACAGTGCTTTATGTTTTCAGTGATATCAGCGCTGTAAAGGATGAACAGAAGAGGACCCAATATGGATCCCTGAGGAATACCTCTGGAGAGGGTCCCGCACTGGGAACGGAGAACCCTTCCATCATCCCTTCGAATCTCAACAATCTGAAGCCGGTACATCAGATAACTGTGGAACCAGCGAACAGCAGCTGGTAGAAAACCATAGAATGTCAGCTTCGACAGCAACAGTGGAAGACTCAATGAGTCGAAGGCACGAGAGAAGTCGAGGAGAACCAAAAGAGAACCCTCGCCTTTGTCTTGAGCTGTTAGTGCATCGTCCACCACATTAAGTAGCGCAGTTGAAGTACTGTGCTTTTTGCGAAATCCAGATTGGAGTAACGGTAACACAGAATTCACCTCCAGATATTTTACAACCTGGTTGTAGACTACACTTTCGACTACCTTGGAAAGACAAGACAGGAGACTGATAGGTCGAAGATCACCGAGATTGACAGGGTTTACCTTTTTGGCTATAGGTCTAACTAGAGCCACCTTCCAAAAATTACAGAAATTAGAACTAGACAAAGATTTGTTTACAATGGCTGTAATGGCTCTGAGGGATTGAGGCATAGTCATCCTTAACATTAGGAGAGAAAGCCCATCAACGCCCACGGCATAAGAGTGTAGAGACTGAATGGCATTAGCAACCGTTCTCTCTGTGACAGATTCAAATGTGAAAGCTGAGTTTCCGAATCTGTGATGCTCAAAGAAAGTTAGTTGTGAGATGCTGGGATCCGACGTACAAGGCACGTCCAAAAAATGAGAATTAATAATGTCAGGGTCCGAAAATGAACTAGGTAGGTCATTGTTCCTCTTAATTTCAATATGTTTTTTTAAATTGTTCCACAGTAACTTAGGATTATTTTTGTTTTTATTTATATATAGTTCGAAATAACATTTTTTTTCTTGGTAGATAGCAGATGTGACAAGAGACTTCATTTCTTTATAGAATACTTTATGGGATTCACATTTAGTTTTCTTCCATCTAGCATAGGCGTTATCACGGATTCGCATCATTTGCTTCACGGTATCGGTGATCCAAGGGTATGTTCTAGCCTTAATGTGAACAGTTTTAAGAGGAGCATGTAAGTCAAACAGCTGTAAGACAAATGAGTTGAAAGCAACGACCATTGAATCGAGATCAGGTAATTCTTCAATGTGACTCCAATCAATCCTGCTCACATCTATATCAAACTGTTCGGTAATGATGTCCTTGTATGGTCTAAAAGAAACACTGTAGGGAGGATGTTTTTCTTTTTTAATAAAAAATTGAGCCATAATCACTGCATGCTTTCACAGGTCAGGTATATGATGGACACTCAAATTATTAACTTTAGCATCACTGCAAATCAAATCGATCAAGGTTGCACTATGATCGGTAAAATGCGTAGGTGATTGTACTAGTTGCTTGATATTCATGGATTCAAAGAAATTTGTTAATATTTTATAATTATATGCATTAATATTAACATATCCACATTAAAATCACCCAACAGAATGAAATGATCATGGTGCGCAAAACCGCACATGGACTGAGAGAGAGCATCAATAAACACATTTAGATCCATCCATGGAGGTCTGTAGGCAGTGCCGATGGCAATCCGGAGAGAATTCGACTTCAGACTTAGCCACATCTGCTCAACACTATGGGTGTCAGATATAGGGCAGGTACGCACATAAATTCCCTTTTTAATATAGAAACCTACCCCCCCGCCACGACCACTGCGAACGCTAACAGGTCGTGGGAGGTGCCGCAGACGGTAGCCGGGTACTGAGGGACCGCGACCATCCTCCCCATCCCTCAACCAGGTCTCATTTATGGCCATTATGTCAACCGATATCCTATCCATGGCTGCAACAAATTCGTCATGTTTTGAGCCTAAAGAACCGGCATTGAAAAGGCCAACATTTAAGTACTTGTTAGGTCGCATTTATGATATCAGAAGTATAGATACTGAGTAGAAAAATAAGCAAGTGTATATATATATATATATATAATAATAACTACAACGATACATGTGTTTAAATAATGAGATTTCAAATGTAAGTAGCCTTTACAACGAAATGCGAGCTGATAAAAATTTGTATAAGATGAAGTGTGTAAATGTGAAAAATAATTTTGTAGTTCAAAAACGTTGAAGTAACAGATGTTAGTTTTAAGAAAATAATATTGTAGTTCAAAAGAATAATTTAAGTATAACTGTAAATATGACACTAAGGACGTTCCGCGCAACGAAAACATTGAGTTCATCAAATATACTTTACAGATCGGCACAGATGATGCAAATCCCACGTAAGCAACCAACCAATACACAAAGAAAGACAGTGAACTTATCTTAATAATACGATTTAACAAAAAAGGACCATAATAAAATAATACTAATGTTGAAAAGAAGTTATTACTACATAAAGCATTATAATGATTATTTAAATATATATAGTTGAACAAATAACAAATTTTATTATTTACTAAGTTCAGAACTAACCGTACCCAAACCAAAAACACCAACCATATCGTCCACACTTCTAAGGTACATTCTGGGCCGCCCATCAGCCTGTCTAACATAAACTCGCCCCCTTCTGGTCCAAACATATCTCCAGCCTAAACTGCGTGCAGTAGCCCTGGCTTGACGGAAAATTTCTCTATTGGCAGAGGTCAGACGCTCATTGATATAGAAGCGGCGGGGGGGAGTCGGCAAGCCTGGTGCCTCGGTGGTTGCAGAACGACGCACTCGAGCCGCACGAAGAAGTTCATCCCGCATGTGGCGACGAGTAAGGCGCATCACGATACGCCTAGGTCGAAGCTCTTCGGTTCCATCCTCAACTCTACCGCCCCCCACCCCAACCCTCTCCGCGAACACGATGTCCCTCTCATCGAGCTCCACACCGATTCTTTTTGCCAATACGCACACAGTGTGGATAGTATTTTCTCCGCGAACTTCGGGTACATTGGAGATTTCAAGGTCAGCCACAAGAGCCTCCTGTTCGCGAGTGCTTAGCTCCTGTTTGAGTTCGGCGACAGTACGCTGCAGACTAGTAATCATATTTTCCGGTATCTCCAGCTCACGTGATTTCTCCAAAGCAGATATCCTTGCCTCATGTTTATCATGGTGTTGTTCGAGTGCCAGCAGCCTGTTTTCGAGCTCATCAAGACGACCCAAGGCAGAGTAGACCCCGGCAAGCTCACGCCGGAACTCAGCGAACTCTTCCCTGACCTGACGCATCTCCTCTCTGAAGAGGCGCAGCTCCAAGCTCAGTTCCACCCGAAAGGGCTGCGTCTGATCTAGAGCAGTATTGTTTAGAGACTCACCGGTGAAACTATAATCCTGCACATGATCAATGTCAACATACCCCGAAGGTGCGGCATCCGTAGGCCGATAGCCATCCTCGACACTCTTAACCGGCGTGGCGGAATTATCAGTCTTAGGCCTTTTGACTACACAATCGGGACATTCCCACGTGGTACTAATTTTAACTCCGTCCGGAATAGCTACACAAACCCGGTGGAAGACATTCGGACAGCAATTGCATTTAGCGGCCGCAGATGCAGAGATGAATTTACCACAACCCCCACACTTTTGCATGATTATCTAATTTTAGTATGTAGATTCGGAACGCAACCAAACTTACAAGCAGGTTTCAACCACAGCTAAATTCACGTATGCCGTTTCCGAACGCACCAATGATAGCAGCAAGTCGCAGGCACTTCAACACAACCAAACTGTCAGTTAATTGCAAACATAGGTATTAGTAATATACCCTGTTATTTAGATTCCGTGATGCATTTAAAACACCAGATACGTCAATATAATGGAAAACACAGCACTGCAAACGTTCACTTGGGATGCAAGTTATGTATAATACTAAAGGAAACCGTAAGTACGAATGTAAATTAATAATAACAATTTTTAAACTGGGAAATAAGAAACAGCTGATTCCATCTGACAAACGTCCGTGACGTCACTCACCAATTAAAGATTATTTAATTGTAATTTATTGAATATAAAAAAATTCAAATTAAAAGTTGTCTATTTTCAATAAATGTCAAACGAATGAAAAAGGTAGTTTTTCTGACATTTTCGTAAATATGAATTGTATAAAGATGTGACGTTTTTACGCATGTTATTATTTCGTGTTGCCTCCACGAGCTTGCAAAACTGCGGCTATGCGATTCGGCATACCTTCCACAAGGTTTTTAAGGCGATGCTGCGGAATGTTCTGCCATTCCTCGATCAAAGCTCCTTTCAATTCACGCAGCGTGATTGGCGGCGGATTCCGTTGACGTACACGTCGTCCCAGTTCGTCCCATGCATGTTTGATGGGGTTTAAGTCGGGGCTTCGTGCTGGCCACACCATGCATGTGATACCTACTTCGTGAAAATAGTCGAACACTATCTGAGCTGTATGCGGGCGGGCGTTGTCTTGCATAAAAACAGCATTTTCGCCCATATCTACTAAAAATGGACCAACATAGTCATTAAGAATTTCATTCACCTATCGTTCTGCTGTTAAACTGCCATTTTCTATCACTACTAGCTCAGTACGGCTTTCGGAAGAAATCCCAGCCCACACGTGTATAGAGCCACCGCCATATGGTACTTTTTCTTCTATACAAGCTTGGTTATAGCGCTCTCCCGGTCTTCGGTACACTCTTTTCCTCCCATCGTGCTTGTATAAACAGAATCTAGACTCGTCTGAAAACATAACTCTTGACCAGTCATCCAGAGTCCAAGTTTCGTGTTCTCTGCTATAACTCAGCCTTGAGTTTAAGTGGTGTCTTTCTAATTTTGGGCCATTTGCAGGCCTTAATGGTCTCAAATTTGCTTCAGCCAGACGTCGCCTTACTGTATCTGTACTCAGATAGTTTCCTCCAGCTCGTAAATGGTGATTTTTTACCTCAACGGCCGTAAGAAATCGATTTCTCAAAATTGTTGACACCATATAGCGATCCTCCCGCGCAGTCGTGCACCTCGTTCGGCCTGTTCCTGGTCTTCTTAGGTTGGATCCAGTTTCATGGAAACGCTGGAGTACCCGCTGAACTGTGGAAAGACTCACACCAACAGTTCTCGCTGTATTGCGCTGACTGCGCCCATCTTCAAGCATTGTCAGGATCCTGGTGCATTCTTCAGAGGTTAACGACATGATGACTTCAGAATACAATTTCTGTATGACAAACACACGGTATTTATTGTAGTTTTTATGTCAAAACTAAAACAAATGCGAAACAAATGCTTTGATTTTTTAGAACTAAATTGAAAAACAACCATTATCTTCATTGCCAGTTTTCTAACACAATTATCTAAAGTAAATAAAAAGGTTTTATATACTATGTTAAATAACATTAAATATTCTTTAATTGAGTTTTTATTTCATAAAGCTAGGTGAGGTAGTTTTCAAGTTATTGAAAATTTTCTAACCGACCCGTTTTCTTTGCGGTCCAGTGTAGTTACCAATAGAAAAGTCAATTTTCTATTAAAAAAATGCAATGAAATTCACGTGTTATTTAAATTTTAAATTACACTCATTCTACATTCTATATATATTAGATCATAATAGTGTGTAGATGCAGATGCACCTCCCTGGAAATAATCCTGGCGGCGCCCATGCCTCTCGACTATAGTTACCAGTGTGAGAGTGGATGAAGACATTGGATGATCCCAATAGATAAGTGAGCGAAATAAGAGATTGTTTATGCCTATAGTTATCTACAGGAAAACCTGTAATAAAACCTAAATGTAATTTACAGCAGCTTTGGGATTCTGTAGAGATTCAATGAAATAAAACCTATATCAACTTTTAAAGTAAATTTTATTTGATTTCAACCTCTAATGCTGCGACAGCGTTGTGTTTTTATCAGATCAACATTGCAGGACAGTTTTTAAAATTTAATATTTATACGGAACTTTCAATGCACGAGTGCGACTAACTCCCGACCGTTTTTTTTATAAAAAGCAAACGTCGTTAACAGAGGCCCGGGATAACGAAACCCCGACTTTAATAATTGGACTGTCAGCAGTGATACTAGTTACCTGAGAGATGTATAACAAAACTATATGTTGCTTCTGAAGTTTATTCATCGGACGCATATATTTTTTTACCCCTTTAGGAAACCAACTGAAAACGGCGGTGCCGTTATTTGCGGCACATGTCGAGTTGGCACCTTTCGGACATCGGATACACTCTGTGGTTGTCTATGTGTGTGTATGTGTATTCAATAAATTGTTTTTCTTTCTTTCTCTTTCTTTAGCTGAGTGGTTCCTAAACTGGTTTTAAGATATATCAGATTTCTGGTAGGATCCTTGTATAAATTGATATTTTTTTATTGTCTCGAAACAGTAAAGATATTTTAGATCAATCTCTAGGTATTGTGTTACCCACCTCCGTTGTTAGAGATTTCCTTATTACAAGTGCAATTTACTTATTACAAGTTATTTGGTATATAATTGGCGTATAATATTTATTACCTTATAATAAATAGGTTTATTTAAAAAAATATTATTTTGATTTTCACTTATACACCAAATCATTTATTATAATTTTCTCTGACTAATGGTATAAGCTACATGAAATTTTGTTCAGTGTTTTTGAGTTCTAAAATAACTCTCACATACAAGTTATCAGAAATACATGAATCTTATGCAATCTTGTTCGATGTGTTAAATGATTCATATATGTAGAAGGGGTATGACAAAGGAGCTTATAACGGGGGAAATAACAAAACAAAACGAAAACAAAGAATCGAGAAAGTACATTTTAATGTATAATAGAGAAGCTCGATAGCGCAGTAGCGCATTTAGTCTGGGATGTATACACATCCCAGATACGCACACCGAAAAACATACATTAAGCAACGCTTGTAAAGGTCGGCAATGGGATGGGTGACTATTTATAATCTCGAACTATTTCCTTCTTTAGACGGCAAGTTTTACCATCTTCTTATTTGACAGTGGTTTCTTAGTAATGGAGGTTTTAAATTAAAATTCAGTATCACTTATTCCGTCTAGGCTGTTAAGCACTTGCGCAAATCAAAATGTATGACATCGATTTTACTTCTTACGGGTAAGTTTGATTTGTAAATTCTCTTTATTGTGCACATAGACAAATTCATTAGATTCCTTAGAATTGAAATATGATTTAGTTTTCCATTTTTAATAGAGAATAAAAATATAATTAAGTTTTCCATTTTTTATTGGAAATTAAAAATCAATTGAAAATGTCAGTGATATTTAGTGTACTTCATTTAAAAAAAGCTGTTATAGAAAGTCGTAAAGTAACAGAAATACTCGGTGTCCCTGCTGTGACGTTGTCAAAGAAGATGTCGGGGACATGAATATTTTAAAAAGTCTTTATAAACGCTTTCCACTCTCACCCACTCTAATACTCTCTTGGAATTTCACTGAAAAATTTGAGCGATGATATGACGTAACATCGTTAAATCACAGAATTTCCGCTCTCTTTATTTTTAACTTATAAAATTGGGACGATAATATCAAAACAAAGTGAAGACAATACCGTAATACACAATAGGTTTTTTATATTGTATCCTAGCTGTGACTCAGAGCTTTACTCATACTAGTTCGTTATTATACAACCTTGTCCGTCGCGTCCTAACGCATCCCTCCGCGAGATGTTTGACGGAATCTTTAGGTTTTTATGAACCCCAATAACCATCTAAATGCATAATTAAGTACATGATTAGTTAATCAACATAGTACAAAACAAAATAGCTTTACCCCTTTCTATCCGTTCAGATTTCACAACGGATTATAAGCGGTTTTCCCCAATTTATAGATAGTGATTAAAGAGGCAGTTTTATTAAATGTATTATTATAGCGTTCTTATAAACATAATTTCTTAAATTATGTTATAGATATCGTACTTTCAAAAGTTTCAAAATATATTATCTCAGCTCTCCGAACAATTTTTATTAGAGCAAAGTGAACTTCATTTCCGTTGGTCGATATCCCGAGCCCCGAACTTCGAAGATTTCGTGGCAGCTGTGAATATTAAAGGAATTTTCATAATCCATCATTGGATTGTCTACTTTAGTAATAAGAACGATAATTTTCATAGGAAACCATTAAGATAGAATGGGTTGCAAAACGTCTTATAATGATGACACTTCCGTGAAGATTAAATATTATGAATTTATTATATCACATCTTATAATGTTTTATTCTAATTATTTGAAACTCAAACATTATATTTTGGTCATGTGTCCAATCCACATTGGGTCTACGTGATGGTTTCAAGCCTATTTTCCCTATTCGATTAAATTCAACTCCATCCATAGGGAAAGCCCACTACAACCAACTACTGATCCACCCACCCCAGCTAGTGGGGCATATATTATACATTTGTATACTAACGAAAGGATATAATTCTTGTAAAATACTAGTGTCAAATATATGTTTGAACCTTTAACCTCATTCTACTGACCTTTATCTGACCTACAGATAACTATTTTCTTTTTAATCTATGCAAAGCATTCCCACGAAAAAAAATGTTTGATGATTTTGCAGCAATAACAACGGCCTTTTATAACTTTTTGGGTAGATTTATATTATTAGCCAATCTTATTATA